CAGCGGAGGAGCCGGCGCCCTGGGCTAGGGAGCGTGGGGTGGGGCCGTGCCCATGTTGTCTTTCCTCCGCCGCCCCACAGGGCAGCTGGTAAAGATGCTGCTGTACACAGAGGTGACACGCTACCTGGACTTCAAGGTGGTGGAAGGCAGCTTTGTCTACAAGGGGGGAAAGATCTATAAAGTGCCGTCCACCGAGACCGAAGCCTTGGCTTCCAGTGAGTACAGCTTCCCTGAGCCGGAGGGCCAGAGCAGGGCGCCCCTCGCCCAAGGTGGCATTCCCCGCACAGTGCCGAAGGCCCTTGCTCTGGCCTCCCTCGACTGCCCTGAGCCCCACGGTGGGTGCCAGGAGGGAGGTCCGCACGCAGAGGGGATGTGTGTATGGTTGCTCCTTCCAGAAAGACTTCAGCCTCTTCACGGGGGCTCTGCTTGACCCATGAAATGTCCCCAAGTGTTGGAGCTGGGAGGGTCCATGGAGCTTGTCCAGCACAACCCTTTTTTTGTACAGATGGGGAAACTGAGGCCAGGAAGGGCAAAGGGGTTAGTGGAGGCTTACACGGTGGTCGGCAGCAAAGCTCGGCCGGTAGCTAGGGTACCTGCTTTCTCAGCCTGTGTGCCGGGAAGGTTTGTTGGCGTGTGGGTCTTCTCACGTGTGCCTCCACAGATTTGATGGGCATGTTCGAGAAACGGCGTTTCCGCAAATTCCTGGTGTTTGTGGCAAACTTTGATGAGAACGACCCCAAGACCTTTGAGGGCGTTGACCCCCAGAGCACCAGCATGCGTGACGTCTACCGGAAGTTCGACTTGGGCCAGGACGTCATCGACTTCACTGGCCACGCCCTGGCGCTCTACCGCACTGATGAGTGAGGGGAAGCTGGCATGGCAGACGCCCGGCTGGCCTGCACCCTGCCCTCCCCACTCCCGCGCGCTGCTCCCTCCACCCACCCCGAACTCAGCCATGTGCCCGCCCATCAGCTTGCTTGTTCCTCCTGTGCACTCATTTGACCCGTAGTCTTTCTCAGGCCATGGAGGGTGGTGGGAAGGCCAGCCTGGTGCTTGGGTGCGGGTGAGCTGGGGTGCTGCTGTTGGAGCCTCTCCTCTTGACCCCGTCCCCCCAGTTACCTGGACCAGCCCTGTCTCGAGACCATCAACCGCATCAAGTTGTATAGTGAGTCCCTGGCTCGGTACGGAAAGAGTCCTTATTTGTACCCACTGTACGGCCTCGGTGAGCTGCCCCAGGGCTTTGCAAGGTGAGGGGTCTTTTTTTGGTGGGCAACACCAAGTAGGGCTAAAGCTGAGAACAGAAGCGGCCCTTGAGGATTTTTGTGGCATTCACACTTTCCCATCATGGCCTAGCGGACTTTGTGTGCTTGGGTGGCAGGGCTGCGGGGGGCTTGGGGGGGAGGGAGCCGCAGCAGAGCGTGGAGGTGCAGGGTTGAAGGGCCAGGTCTTCACCAGCAGGGCCTGCCTGGCTCCCAGCCAGATTCAGGCAGCACCGCGGCTGGGCCTGGGGCCTTGGCACGTCAGGTCAGAGGGCTCTCCCAGAGCCCTTTGTTCTGCTCCCCAGACCCTTGCCCCGAGGAGCCAGGCCTTTATGCTCCCCTCACGGTAGCCCTTTGCAGAGTAATTTGGGTGGAAACTGCAGAGAGGAAGGAGCACTCCAAATTCAGTCCCGACTCTGTGGCAGTGACAGAGGTGGGAAGAACCACCAGGCCCCCTGAGCTCTGCCTGCCTTCTTCGTGCCCCAGCGCTGGCTTGCGGGGGGCGGACAGCACCGGGGCACCAGTCCGTGTGTTCTCCTGGGAAGGGGACTTCACCACCACTCTCGCCACCACAGATTGAGTGCCATCTATGGGGGGACATACATGCTGAACAAACCCGTGGATGACATCATCATGGAGAATGGCAAGGTGGTGGGCGTGAAGTCTGAGGGAGAGGTGAGCCTTCTCTGTGGAGCAGGGGTGGTGGTCTGGGTGGGGCTTGGCCTTCTCCTTAGAGGCGCTTTTCCGGGTGATTCTGACTCTGCTGTGCCTGCTGCTGGGTCTTTCCCTGGGTCCCCTAGGGCTGGGGGCCAGGGCTCCAGAGGGGGTCCACATGGCCATTTCTGTTGGCGAGAGGTAGCTCTCAGGCCCACGTGCCGTATCAGGGCTCCAGGGAGCGTTTCTGATCACGGCATCTCAGCGGAAGGGGTTTCCCAGTGCTGCGTGTGGACACCCCCTCCCCGAGGTACCGCTCAGAGGGCCGCAGTGCCGGCCTTCACCGGGGACTCAGCCCTATGACCACCTAGGTGGGTGTTTGGATTGGCCTTCCGGTGTTTTCACAGGTGGCCCGCTGCAAGCAGCTGATCTGTGACCCCAGCTACATTCCAGACCGAGTGCGGAAGGCAGGCCAGGTTATCCGTGTCATCTGCATCCTTAGCCACCCCATCAAGAACACTAATGACGCCAACTCCTGCCAAATCATCATCCCCCAGAACCAAGTTAACCGGAAGTCAGGTAGGCTCAGACCCATGTGACTTCCTCCAGCGTGTTCTCTTTGGGGCGGCTCCGCCTCTCCCCGTAACTCTTGGGGCTCTTTGCCTGATCCCTCCGTGGAAGGATGGGGACCCACATAGCAGTCCCTGTGACTTGGGACCCTAGGGATTGGATGGCTTGGACTGCCATACGTGAGGGTGGCTGGGGAGGAGTGGGCGGGCGGGCCCGAGTCAAGCCCCGCCTCCAGAAGCCCTCTGCACCCGTGTTAACGGAGCCCCTTCCTGCGGGTAGACATCTACGTGTGCATGATCTCCTACGCGCACAACGTGGCTGCGCAGGGCAAGTACATCGCCATTGCCAGCACCACGGTGGAGACTGCAGAGCCGGAAAAGGAGGTTGAGCCTGCCCTGGAGCTGCTGGAGCCCATTGACCAGAAGTGAGGGGCTGGGGGGCTAGGGCGGGATTGGGGCTGGGGGGAAGGAGGGGAACTGGGGGGTTGGGCAGAGACCGCGGGGAGTGAGGCTGGTCGTGAGGCCGCCTCCCTCCCCTGTGTGCGCCCCTTAGGTTCGTGGCCATCAGTGACTTATATGAGCCCATCGACGACGGCTCCGAGAGCCAGGTAAGCAGGCCGTCCGGGCCCCAGCTCCCAGCCCCCTACCCAGGGCCCCGCCCGACTCACCGCGGCCCCCGGGCTCTGGCCGTTTCCAGGTGTTCTGTTCCTGCTCCTACGATGCCACCACGCACTTCGAGACAACCTGCAACGACATCAAAGACATCTACAAGCGCATGGCAGGCTCCGCTTTTGACTTTGAGAACATGAAGCGCAAACAGAATGACGTTTTTGGAGAAGCCGACCAGTGATTGCTGACCCCGCCCCCCCCCCCCCCCCCCCCCCCCCCCCCCCCCCCCCCCCCCCCCCCCCCGACGGCCTAGCCCTTGGTGTCCTCTCCCCTGGCCTGAGTCGGTTCTCCTCCAGGGCCGGGGAGATGGGTGTGGCTGGGCACCCCCGTTCCCAGCATTCCCTGCTTCCCCTGCCGCATCCTACGTTCCCGTCGCCCGCCTCATTGATTCACTGACCAAATCCTTAACCTTAGCGATGGTTTGGGAGACGGGGTGGGGGGGGTTGGATAGCATCCTCTTTCTGGGCCCTTCCTTATTCTGGGAAAAGAGGGTTCTTTTCCTCGTGTGTGTCTCTTCCCCCTCCATTCCTGATTCTTCTGCTTGCTTTGGGAAGAACGTGGAGGAAAAGCTGACTTCTGCCCCCACTGCTCTTACCCCTACTTGTAGTGGCCTTTGGAGATGCCCCCTGCCTCCCCCCACCAACTCTCTTGCGTGTTGGAGAGAAGGGGCCCTCCCAGCACAAAGTTGCATTCCTCCCCCCCCCCCGCCCCGCCCTGGTTAATTTATTCTAATTTATTAACTTCGGCCTGCCTGATTTGAGAAGGGAGCCCTGTGCCTCTCACCCGCAGCCTTCTGGTGTGGCCTGGGAGGGGAGGGCTTGTGCCGCCCTTGTAGGTTGATCTTACTATTTTTGTTGCTAGTCTTGTGTTTGTGTTCTCTGGCATTTGCTGAGAGAGAAAAGAAATGTGAGCAAAGCAGAAGGAGGTGGGGAAATGGATCCAAACCCCAGTAGGCCCCACCCCGCCCCACAGCCTTTCCCTTAGTGGTGGGAAACCCTTATCCTGCAAAGTGAATGTGGCCCCTCCCCCGACCTCTAGTGTATTTCACAGAAAACCTCCCAATAAATCTGTGTTGAAACCCGGGGCCGGGTCTTTCTCGCTTCATTTTCGAAGACCTGGGTGCTGGCCGGGGCCTCTGCTCCCTGGGCTGTTAGCTTGTAGCAGTTTTAGACTTCCGCTTAGCTTTGCTCCAGCTGGGAGTAAAAGGGGACTTTGTTCCTCAGGGAATTAGCTCCTAAACCAAAAGGGCCTGTACGGAGGAAATAGGTCACACTGAGTTGCCCGAGGCCACCCAGCGAATTAGTGGTGGCACCAGGACTGCAGTCCCTTGGGGTCAATGTGGGAGGAAATAGGGAGAAAGGAGTATGGCCCGGGGTGGGGGGTGGAAATGATACGAAGTGGGGGGGGCAGGGTCCCTGTCTCCAGGTCGAGGAGGAGGCAGAGGACACCCAGGCCCAGCTTCATGACTTGGGTGGAAACAGGAGACTGGGGCCCAGTCTTGGGTGGGGGGTCAAAGTCGAAGCTCTGGGAACCAAGGTGGCCTCAGGGAGGCAGCAACGGCACGGGGCAGAGGTGTGGATCTGGCCTTGGACTGGGCTCAATGTTAGGTGGAGGGTTTGGGGGCCCAGGCTTGAGGTCAGCAGGATGAGGTAGGACCAGGGACCCAGCCTCGGGCCGGGGGTAGCTTCATCAAGGGATTGACGGGGAACCGAGGAGGCGAGCGACTCGGGTCCAGCCTCCGGAGGCCGGCGGGGCGGGGCCGGGCGGCCGGCTGGGCGGGGCGATTGCGCGTCCCCTGGTGCCCGACGTCACCGCGCGGGCGTCAGCTGACTGCGCGGCTGCTGCCGCCGTCGCTGCAGCCGCTGAGACTCCAGCAGGCCGCTGTCGCCGCCGCCACCGCCGCCGTTGCCGCCGCCGCCGCCATGGCTCAGTACAAGGGCGCCGCGAGCGAGGCGGGCCGCGCCATGCACCTGATGAAGAAGCGGGAGAAGCAGCGCGAGCAGATGGAGCAGATGAAGCAACGGATTGCTGAGGTGCGGGCCCGGCCAGGGCCTCTCAGAGCACGCGCGCCGCCCGCCGCCCCGGCCCTCTGAGGCCCCGCGAGACCCTGGGCGGCGGGTGCGGAGCACAGGCGGCGAGCCGGGGCGGGCCCCTTGCTCCCGCACTTCCAGCTAAAGGCAGAAACGATCTGGCGACAGTCTGCTCATCTGTAAAATGGGCCCAGAAGGCTGAGCCCAGTCAGCTTGTGACAAGCTTCCAACAGGAGGGAGCCATCGTGGGTGGTTCCTTCCATTGGTGGAATTAGGGCTCCCCTGGCGCGCGGACACAGAGCATCCCCGCCCTGCCCCTCAGCCCTGAGAACGAGGCCTCTGCCCTGATCCAATGGTTGACAGGAAAGTCAGGCCCCACAGGCCGTGGCCTATCCACCGGCCACTGAGCCTCATTCCAGAGCCCTTTGCACCGCGACAAAGGCAGAGTCCAGCGTCCGGGGTGCTAGTAGTTCACTAAGGGCTTAAAGGAGCGGTGGGTGGCGGCGCGCTGGCGGGAAGAAAGGATTGCTCTGCTGGGGCCTGTTGGGGAGTCTCGTCTGCAGAGCAGGGACTCGAGGGCGGGGGGGGGGGGGGGGGGAGGCTACCTTGGGTACTGTGGATGCCAGGCCCAGGGAAGCAGCTTCACACTGGTGCCCGAGCCCTGAGGGCTCGGTGTGAACTCTTCGGCCCGTGGAGCTGCATTTCCCTGATGGCCACCTGCCTTCGAGGCCACCAGCCAGAGAGGGACCTGTGCGGTGCTGAGTGGGATGGGGCCGGCCTGGAGCGAGGTCTTCTGGGAAGCTATTGGCAACATCTAAGGCCGCGAGGGAGCAGCGTTGCTCAGTGGCAGACCGGGCCCCTCGGCCCCTCCTCACTGTCTCTTTTCACCCCTCCGCTTGGGTCTCCAGACCTTCAGTTTAAAGGCTGGGTATGAAAACCACCGAAGGCAGGTAGGGCCTGTGACCCTGAGCCACTGAGGGAGCTCTGGGCCCCAGCAGGACGCACGGAGGGGCTGGATCAGCACACAGGTCGCAGGGAAATGACCTCATTTGGCTCCCTCAGCAGTGGAAGGACCCCTCATAGCCGTGTGGAACCTTCCATTGACCAAGGAAAGGGGACATGTCTTTCCCAGGGTCACATTATCATCAGTCCAAAGGCAGACCTGGGCTTAGAACCCAGATCCCCACTTACACGGCGGGGCGGTGGGTGGCCCTCACTCCCGTCCTCCCTGTGCAACAGGAGAACATAATGAAATCTAACATCGACAAGAAGTTCTCTGCGCACTATGACGCCGTGGAGGCGGAGCTCAAGTCCAGCACCGTCGGTGAGCAGAGCGCACGCCCACCACCCTCTTTGGGATCCAGAGGCCTGCCTCTTCCCTGGCACTGGGCCGCAGACCCTCATCCCCGGCTCTCCTCGCCTCCAGGTCTCGTGACCCTGAATGATATGAAGGCCAAGCAGGAGGCACTGGTGAAGGAGAGGGAGAAGCAGCTGGCCAAGAAAGAGCAGTCGAAGGAGCTGCAATTGTGGGTCCTGTCATCTCAGCCAGCAGCCCCTCCCCCCTACCCCCCTCCCCCGCCCCGACATGCAGCTAGTGCTGGGAGGGTGGGCCGGGCCCTTCCTGCCCCGTGAGAGTGGGCAGCTTCGGGAAGGGGCCTCAGGGCGGGGACGCGGTGCATGGCGGTGCTGTGCCTTGGTAGGAAGCTGGAGAAGCTGCGAGAGAAGGAGCGCAAGAAAGAGGCCAAGCGGAAGATCTCCAGCCTGTCCTTCACCCTGGAGGAAGACGAGGGAGCGGGTGACGACGAGGAGGAGGAGGCGGAGGAGGAGCTGGAGAGGGAAGGTAAGCACTGGCTCTAGGGGACAGGCTCTGGCACAGAGAAGTGTATCTGTCACCCCGTCTCCACAGTCTGCCGCGTTCGTGCTCTTGACCGGCCCACGCCGGGCGGGAGAGAGAGGGCCGCACCTGTCCCTGCGCAGACCTCGGGGCTGGGCTCGCCCCCAGCGGCCGAGTGAGTTAGGGCGTGTGTGTGGCTGCTGGACGGGGCGGTGGGGTCTTCGGTGCACGAGGCCCATGAAGGGCGGGCCAAGGAGGGAGAGGACGGTCCGGACGAGGCTGCTCAGTAGAGCTTCCTGTGATCACGGAGACGTTCGGGTCTGTACTGCTACGTGGCCACTGAGCATGTGGCCGAAGTGTCAAGTGTTTGACTCATTTCAGTGTCAGTTGATACAGCCACAGGCATTCAGGGGCCACTAATGAGACAGTAGAGGTCTCAGCCGAGGGGCCAGGGGGTGACAAGGGACCATTTGGGAAGGCTGGGGAGAGGGCTGAAACCAGCATGGGGTACCCGTGCGCCTTGCACCCGTTGTGAGCCGGCGCCGAGGCAGACAGACAGAGGGGCAGGGCGCCTCCCCTCTCCCTGGAGTCCCATAGGTCAGCACGCTCACGCTGCGGGGCGCGGGGCCAGCCCCGGGCAGGGAGGGCGTCTCACGGCGGGAACAGGTGAGCCTGGCCTTTAGAGCGGGGAGAAATTTCATGAACAACCAGAGCGGGGGGTGGAGGGACGCGTGCAGTCGGGAATGAGTGGGGCCGGCCACGGGGCCGGCAGGAACGGACACAGCTGAGGACCTGGAAGGGCTTGGGGGCCGGGAGTGGTGCGGGACGGAACTGAAGAGTGGGGTGGCACCTCACGGCGTGGCCACGGGCCCCATGTGACAGCCTCAAGGGGAGTGGCTGACGCCGGCAGGAGAGAGAGCCTAAGTCTCCTGGGCTTCGGCGTGTTCTACGAGCTACAGTAAAATGCGCTGAAAAGAAACTGGTGAAGAAAATTTCAATACTGTTTAGTAATTTTGTTTATTTTGAGAGAGAGAGAGAGCAGGGGAAGGGCACAGAGGTCAGGAGAGAGAGAGAATCCCAAGCAGGCTCTGTGCTGTCAGCACTGCGCCTGACATGGGGCTTGATGTCACGAACTGTGAGATCGTGACCTGACCTGAAGTCAAGAGGATGCTCAGGCAGCTGAGCCAGCCGGGCACCCAGCGCTGTTTAGCAATGTGAAGTGTTCAGTAGCGTTTAGTATCGTCACAGGAGGGAGCGCTGTTGTGGGCAGCACAGATCTGGGGGCACTGTTAACCTCACCGTGTGTCGCTGGGGCGTTGTGAGCACTTCCTTCTCCACGGCGGCTTTGTTTGGGGGGCCCAGCGATGGCATTCTTCTCTGGGCGACGCTGATGTGTTCATTCATCTCTGAACTGGGGGAACTGAGTCCCAGAGTCTGAGATGTTGACGAGCCTGGCCTGAGCCCTAGGGGCTTCTCCTTCCCTTCTCCCCTCCAGCCCCAGTGTTAGTTGTCATGGGGGCTTTGGGCTTCAGTGTCCTTGTCTGGGAACAAGAAGTGCCGTATCGCTTTGGGGCTGTCGCAGGGATTAGGTGATCCATCAGACGTGCGCTCGTGACGAGCACGGCTCCTGGCAAGGAGCGGGGCCTCCGCGAGCATCCGCCCTCCTGAGGATGCCCTGTCCCTCCGTGCACACGAGTGTTCACTCCCTCACACACCAGCACTGAAGCCCAAAGTCCCCCGAGGCGCTTCAGGTCGCAGCCGATGGGCTAAGAACACAGTCCCCAAACTCCTGTCCAGTTGCTGGCTGTGGAGAGCGAGGTGAAGGCCCCTTGGCAAAGGTGCTTTTTAGGTCTCCATAGTGCGGTGGTGGGGACACTTCCGGCTGCTGTGGCTGGGGACCCATGGTGGTGCCAGGGCGCTCCAGAAAGCCTCCAAGGAGGTGGTGTCTGAGCTGAGGCTGGAGAGACAAAGGGTAGGGTGCCCTGGAAGTGGGGGGCCCACCATGCAGCTGTGTTTCCTTTTGCTCCAGAGATCACCCCAAAGAAGAGGAAGTTGGGGAAGAACCCAGATGTGGACACAAGCTTCCTGCCTGACCGAGACCGTGAGGTAAAAGTGGCCCGCCCCCGGCTCTGGCAGGGGCTTTGGCTCAGGGAGTGGGCTCCCGTGTGCCCCCCTCCCACCGAGCAGCCCTGGACTCCCCTCCTTTACCATCTCTTCTCCCAGGAAGAGGAGAACCGGCTCCGGGAAGAGCTGCGGCAGGAGTGGGAAGCCAAGCAGGAGAAGATCAAGAGTGAGTGGCTGCTGGGTGGGATGCAGGGGGTGGGCTGACTCTCCTGCCCGCAGGTGTCAGGGCGGAGGCCTGAGCTCCCAGTGGCGTGCAGAGGGCAGGGGTGCCTGGGTCTGGAGGCCAAGAGGCAATTCTGCTCTGCAGGTGAGGAGATCGAAATCACCTTCAGTTACTGGGATGGCTCTGGGCACCGGCGCACAGTCAAGGTGGGTGGTGTGGGGCGCGCAGCCCGCTCCCTGGCCCCCCACCCCCACCCCGGGGCCCAGCCTCCCTTGGGTTCAGTGGGAAGGGGCTTTCAGTCCTGAGTTCTGAACTTCATGGGCCCTTTCCTGTGGGCGGACCCTGGGGAGCCTGGAGGGAGCAGAGGACAGGGCGTGTCCCTCATGGGGGGGAGCCTGCGGCTCCAAGGTCCCCAGCAGGCGCCTCTGGGCTACTGCCTTCTTAAGAGCTCTTCTCCAGGCTTCTATCTCGTTACCAACCCCTCACTCTTGCTCTCCTGGATGCTGGTGCCTGGGCCGCTCCTCCAGATGAAAAAGGGCAACACGATGCAGCAGTTCCTGCAGAAGGCACTCGAAATCCTGCGCAAAGACTTCAGCGAGCTCAGGTGCGCAAGTGCTCAGAGCTCAGGTGCGGAGAGCTCAGGTGTACAGAGCTCACGTGCCCCAGCTCAGGAGCGCGGAGCACGTGTGTACGCATGCGAGTCTGGAGCGCAGCGTCCCAGGTGCCGGAGTCCCTAAGTCTAGCTGCTGCTCCCTGGATAGGAAGGCGGCATGCTGAGCACTGTGCTCCTGAGCAAGAGGGTCAGGCTCCTTTTCCGTTCCTGTCACCAGGGACAGCTTAGGCGGGGGTACCCGCTTTGCTTCTTTAGCCCCGAGGCACAGGGTGGTGGGTGCCCGTCGTGGGCCTACCAGACCTTGCAGCCTGCCGCAAGGCACTCTGGGCTCCCGCGTGACCACTGCCTCCCGGCGCCGGGGTCTCCGTGGGTGGCTGCTTCCTGGTGTCTGCACCCTCCTGCCTTTTTCCGCCAGGTCGGCGGGGGTGGAGCAGCTCATGTACATCAAGGAGGACCTGATCATACCCCACGTGAGTCCCTTCTCTTCCCTGCAGCCCGGGATGGGGTGGCCGCGGGAGGGGAAGTGGCTTTGCGGTTCCCGGGGGCTTCTCTGGAGGGCGCCCTGGCTCTAGCCTGGCTCTTCGGCTCGGCTGCTGGTGGGTTTCGGGTGGGCGGGCGGGTGGGAGAAGCCCAGCTGCGTCGTCAGCACCCGCTCTCCTGCCTTCCCAGCACCACAGCTTCTATGACTTCATCGTCACCAAGGCCCGAGGGAAGAGCGGTAAGTACTGGCGCCCGGCGCGGCCCCCTGCTTTCCCCCGTGAGTTCTCTCCTACGTGGCAGGGCGGCAGCGTGACTCTGGCCGTGGGATGGCGGCGTCTTTGCTGCAGGGCCACTCTTTAATTTCGACGTTCACGATGACGTGCGGCTACTCAGTGACGCGACTGTGGAGAAGGATGAGGTGCGGGGAGGGGCTGCAGGGGCGCCGGGCGGGGGGCGAGGAGGGAGAGCAGAGGGACGGGGGCACGAGCCCACTGGCCCCCAGCGGTGCCGAGCGGTGGCCCTCCTCCCCCCTAGTCGCACGCGGGTAAGGTCGTGCTGCGGAGCTGGTATGAGAAGAACAAGCACATCTTCCCCGCCAGCCGCTGGGAGCCCTACGACCCCGAGAAGAAGTGGGACAAGTACACGGTGAGCACTGGGCCGGGAAGCCTGGGGGGGGCGGGCTGCGCGGCCGCTGGGGGCGGGGGGCGCCCAGTGGCCCGCTCCGCTCTGCTCCGCTCCACCTCCCTCTTCTGTGCTCTTGCTCTCACACCAGATCCGGTGAATGTGGACGCGCCTCCGGCTCCCTCCCGGGCCTCCGGACTCCCCGCGCTGCCCCCCACCGCCCCCTGCCCCCCTGTCGTCATTTACTGTCTTTTTCTTTTATGGTAAATACACGCACGTGTCAGAGTTGGAGCCCCTTCGTTGTGGTTTGTTTTAAACATTTTCTTACTGAGATAAGATTCACCATTTTGACCATCTGAAGGTGTATGATTGAGGGATATTTAGTCCATTCATGGTGTTGGGCAACCATCACCTTTACCTGCTTCCAGAACATTTCTGTCATCCGTCGAGGGGACCCCATGCCCATTCACAGTCTCTCCCCCAGCCCCTGGCACCCCCTTGTCTGCTTTGTCCACATGGGTTTCTCTCTTCTGGAAGTTTCACCCAAATGGAATCATACAGTATTTCTGGTCTTTGTGTCTGCTGAGAAAGTGTGCATCTGGGCGCGAGGGCAACCCGCTGGGGCCCGGGCAGACCCAGCTGCCCTTGCGGCCAGCCTGCACCCCCCAGGGCACCTGCATGGCGTCGCGGTTCCTTACTGCGGGTGGCAGGGGGGCTCCTCTGGCTCCTGCTGCCCCCTCTGTGCCTACCAGGGCCCTCCTGGCCCAACTCCCTTCCCGGCACCCCTTCCCAGTCCCTACGCAGAAAGGCTGCTGTGGGTGCCGTGCACTCGGGGCTCAGCCAGCCCTGCTCGCACTGGGTTTGGGGGGGAGTGCTCCTGCTTCCTGCCCTCGCCTTGGCAGCCAAGTCCCCCAGTCCCCCTTGGGTAAGCTGAGGCAGGAGGAGGAGGAGGAGGAGGAGGAGGCCGAGGCAGGCAAACCTGGCCAGTTCCTGCTCCCATTCCGCCCCTTACCTGAGGCAGAACAGAGGAAACGGGGCGGCCCCGGGCTGGCAGAGAGCACCCCCAGCTCTGCGTCTGGCCCCACCTCCTTGGCAGATGCACAGATCTGACTGTGGGGGGCTTCATGGGGTACAGAGGCTACTGGGCCCTCCTCCAATGGGCAGGGTCCTGAGCCCTATCCAGACGCAGCACGGGGGGGCCTGGCGCTCAGCCATCTGGGGTCACCTGCAGGAGGGGGAAGGTGGCTGGAGTCAGGGAACCTCGGGGCACAGCAGGGAGTGGGGGACAAATCTGAGGACCTCAAGGGGGCCTTCTGTCGGGCACTGGGAGCCCTGGAAAGGGCTTCATCCAGCCTCTGCACCAGCCCCTTCTGTTGCCTCTTTAGAGCCAGCAGAAGGCAGGGGAGCCCCTCCCAGCCAGCTCACCCAGTGGAAATGGTTTCCAAGGGAACCCCCTTCAGGGGGCCCATAGCTTCTGGAAGATAAACTCTTTGGGCCCAGTCTTGGGTGCTGGCAGGGAAGGACCTGGAGGTTGGGTGGGGGTGGGGCAGGGAGGGAGTCTTTGGGGGCTCAGGATCGAGGGGCCAGGGGGACTGTAAGGGAAGGAGACCCACTTCCTTATAGGCAACGAAGGGATGGAAGAGGCAGTGCCAGAGCTGGGCGGGGGGGTGGGGGCTCAGGGAGGAGCCCCTTGTCCTACGTAAGGGCTGCAGATGGTCTTCCTGGTGCTGGCGCTGGTCAGCCGGCCTCACGCTGGGCTGGCACAGGCCAGAGCTTCCCTGAGCGGGTGACTGCAGGGCCCTCCTCCTGGGACCTTGGACCCATATGAATGTGGAGCTCAGAGAGGGTGGGTGGCTGCAGGGAGAAGATGGGAAGCTGTCTGGACAGAGACTCTGGGAGTCCGTGAATTCCCTAAGGTCAGTGAGTGGCCCCCGATGTTTCTGGGGACCACCCTGTGCCAGGGGTGGGCTAGGTCCTGAGGACACAAGTGAGAGAGGCTTCATTCCTGATGTGCCTGGTGGGGGTGGGGGGGTGGGGGAGGTAGTGTGTATGTGCGTGGACGTGAACAACAAATAGGGAAACAAAAAGCGAAGTAGCAAGATGAAGAGGCCTTTCTGAGGTGAGGACACTGAAGCGGGCAAGTGGGACAAGAAGTTAGCCGTCCCTAAGCGGGTGAGGGCGTGTCGCAGACAGAGGGGCCGGCAAGTGTGAGGACACCGGCAGGCAGGTTGGAGGTGAGCAGCACCGGGGAGGGAAGGAGAGGAAGGGAAGAGACAGGTCAGAGGGGATGACCAGGAGGGGGGGATGCTGATCTTTTGTTGATTACCTTGAACGTTCTACGGAGCCCTGGTCTTCACCCGGTTCACACATCAGCAGGAAAGGTGGGGCGCGCAGGCCCCGCCCCGCCCCGCCCCCTCCCCACCACGCCCTCAACACAGCAGCTCTTGCTGTTGTCACTTACCACCGACCCGTCGGAGTGTCGTACGTGTCTCTCCGTGTCTGTACGCCCAGAGCCTCCTCACGCTTCTGTTTTAAAAGAGCATAATTGGTTTTCCCGACATTGGCAAATTCCCCTCCCTGGGGCGCGTCCTGTCTTGCAGTCCCACCAGCGGGTGAGAGTGTCCGGGGTCCCCTGAGCCTTGCCCACAGGGTACCGTCCATCACTCCTCGCCAGGGGACGGATATGGCGTGAGATGGAGAGGGTGTTCTCTCAGTCGGGGCTTTTATTTAATTGTTTTAAAAGCCTTTTCGGGGCGCCTGGGTGGCTTAGTCGGTTGAGCGTCCGACTTCCGCTCAGGTCACGATCTCGCGGTGGTTGGTGGGTTCGAGCCCCGCGTCGGGCTCTGTGCTGACTGCCGGCTCGGAGCCTGGAGCCTGTTTCGGAGTCTGTGACTCCCTCTCTCTCTGACCCTCCCCTGCTCACGCTGTCTCTCTCTCTCTCCTAGAAATAAAGAAAACATTAAAAAAAAAAAAAGCCTTTTCAACTGAGGGGCACCCGGGTGGCTCAGTCATTATGCATCTGACTTTGGCTCAGGTCACGATCACGGTTTGTGAGCTCAAGTCCCGCATCAGGTGATCTTGAACCCCGCTTCGGGTGAGCCCCACTTCTCTCTCTCTCTCAGCCCCTCGCTCACTTGCACACACTCTCTCTCTCAAAAAAAATTATTTTCAACTGAGGAAAAATTCACATAACATAAAAATAACTATTAACCATTAAAAAATGTATGTATCAAAGTGGCATTTACTTTTTGTTCACAATATTGTGCAACTGTCAGCTCTGGTCCCAGAACATCTCCATCACCTCAAGAGGAGACCCTGCGCCCATTAAATCGTCTCTCCTCACCCCTTTCCCCCAGCTCCTGACAAGCACGAACCTACTTTCTGTTTGTCTGGATTTGCATTTTCTGGAAATTTCACATAAATAGATGCATACAATTAAAGATCTATGAACATGGAAAGACGCTTCGTGTTCACGGATTGGAAGCCTCAATACGGTCAGGGTGTCCATATTAGGTTTCCACTGCTGTGCAACAAATTAACAAAAACTCAGCGGCTGGAAACAACACCCAGTCATTACCTGGCAGTTTCTGCGGGTCAGAAGTCCAGGCATGACGTGAGTGGGGCCTCTGTTCAGGCCCTCAGAAGGTTGCCATGAAGGTTGGCTGGGAGGCATTCTCATCAGAGGCTTGGGGTCCTCTCATATTGCTCATACTGTTCTTGGGAGGGGCAGTTCCTCGTGACTGTGGGACTGGGTCCCTGTTCTCTGGTGGGCCAAGGCACGCTCTTGGCTCCTAGACCCACCTGAGATTCTTTGCAGCTCAGGGCTCACCTAATTAGGTCTGGCCCACCCAGATACTCTCCTTTTGGACGAACTCAAAGTCAGCTGATTAGTAACCTAACCACGGGGGTGACGTCCCATCACGCGCAGAGTTTACGCTCTGCCTCAAGGGGAGGGGATCATATAGACTTATATGCCAAGAGGCAGGAAGCTTGGGGCCATCGTAGAGTGTTGGCCCATGATGATAGCCACCCCTGAAAGTGATCTATGAGTTCAATGCAATCCCTACCCCAAACCCCAGCAGGCTTGTCTGTAGAAACTGACAACCTCACCCTCAAAGCATATAGACGTGCGAAAGACCCAGAACATCCAAACAACGATTCTGAAAAAGCAAAGGAAAGTTGGAGAGCTCACATGGCCTGATTTCAAAACTCACCATGAAGCCAAAGCAATCAAGGCGTGTCGTGTAAGCACAAGGACAGGGCACAGGTGGATGGCATGGAACTAGGAGTCTAGAAATAAATCCTTACATTTATGGTTAGGAAGTGAGGCTGGGAGGGCACCCAGCTGGCTCAGATGGTTAAGCATCCGGCCTCGGCTTGGGTTATAATCTCACGGTTTGTGAGTTCGAGCCCCGCGTCGGACTCTGCTGTCCTCGCAGAGCTTGGTTCGGATCCTCTGTCCCCTCGCTTGGCCCCTCCCCCAGTTGTGCTCTCTCTCTCAAAAATAAGTATTTAGAAAGAAAGAAAGAAGAGAAGGAAGGAAGGAAGGAAGGATGCTGGAGCAGTCAGATATCTGTATGGAAAAAGTGAACTTCAGCCCTGATGTCATGGGTTGAATTGTGCCCCCTAGAAACGTTGCGGCACTCCCCCGGGACCCTTGAACGTGACCTGATTTGGAGACAGGGTTTTTATAGATGGAATCAAGTTAAGATGAGGTTGTATTGGAAAATGGGCCATAATCCAATGTGACCGGTATCCTAAGAAGAGACGAGAGAGACAGACAAATGCAGGGAGAAGGCCATGTGACAGCAGAGACTGCAGTGACCTGTCTACTGGCCAAGGAGGGCCACGGACTGCCAGCGACACCAGAAGGTGGAAGATAGCCACCCCCTAGAGCCTCCGCAGGGAGCTCTGCCCGCTTTCCCACCTGTGGCCTCAGGAGCTGTAGAGGGTAAAGCCTCTTGTAAATCCGTCAGTATGTGGGCCTTCCTTCCGGCAGCCCGAGGACACTCACCTTGCGTAGACCATACAGAGAAATGAACTGGACACGGGTTACAGGCTGAAAAGTATGAGCCCAAACTGAAAAAACATCTAAGTAAAACACAGAGAAAATCTTTGTGACCTTGGGCAGGATACAGAAGACATTAATCATAAAAGGAAAAATTTATAAATTGGACTTCAGGGTGCCTGGGTGGCTCAGTCGGTTAAACGTCCAACTTCTGCTCGGGTCATGATCTCACCATATCTGAGTTCCAGCCCTGCGTGGGGCTCTGTGCTGACAGCTCAGAGCC